TTTTAGACCAGAATGCCTATGGGTGCACATTTGAGCTCAAATGCATTTGTTATTTAAACAGTGTGGCGCAACACCTCAAAATGACCCGTGCGCCGAGCTGAAAGTAGCAAAAGACTATTGAGCTGCGCCTTGCGCCACATTGCGCCGGGTGTATGATAGGGCCCGTAAAGTTAGTTTTATATTCGCACATTTAGACTTCCCCATAATAATATAATTTCATAAAAGTATTATTTGCAAACTCTAAATAACGAAATCATATTAGCAGCAAATGACTATCAAAGTACAACATTGTTTACAGTCAAATATGTTATTTTCAAGTCATACTTACATGCTAATTCAGATCGAATATTCAAAGTAACATGGTAAACAATAAAGAGACTTCTAAATGAACAAATGTGTAAATATAAAACCAACTTTACCTCTATGAAATATAGTGCTTTTTTGTAAAGATTTGTATATTTAGTAGTAAAACAATTTTTTCTGATAAGTTTATGTTTGCTAATACAGAATTTATGCAGTTTTTATTGATTTGTCTTTTGACCATATGATTTTACAAAAGCCTATACTGTTGTCTTAAATTAATAGTTTTTAACAAATATTTTACAACAACAAAAGTAACTATACTGGGCAATAGTTAACTATACTTTATGATAATAAAAATATAATGCAAAAGATACTGAATTTATCACGTGAAAAAATGATCATACACGTTTTGTAGGTTGTAGTTACACCTATGTATGTTGCTTTTAGCATAGAATAGCTGTATTACAGTTTTTCTCAGTCACTTTGGCACATTTCTCAGATCAGAAATTAAATTTGCAAAACCGTGGGCCTAAATGCATTTCTCAAAATAACGCATATAAATAGCAAAACACCACAGATTGCCTTAGGTCCTTAGTTCAGCTCTCAATACAATTTTTTTGTGTTGAATATGTCAGTGGCTTCATAATGACAAGTCATTATGTATGGATAAGACAGTCAAATTAATTAACATGTTGTCAATGGTGCACTCTGAAGGGCTGTTCTGATGTAAACTATGGCAATATTTTTTATGACTGTTTGTACTGTCATTTGTTGACAGATCATGTCATTGTGATACAGAAAGGAAAAGACAGCACTGCATAACACAAAGAAAAAACAAGAGTGGGAATGTGAACATGGGACAACCTTGTTTAAGACCTTCATCAAAATAGTCAAGATTTACCTGGGAGAAATTTACAAATTGTAGACAGATTTAGAACAACAATTCTAATAGACATGTATAAAAAATGCTTCATGACAAAATATTTTTCATGTAAAGACTTACGCCATGAACAAACAATTTAATGCTGTGTGGAGTGAGACTATTCAACAGAGGCCAAAATAATAAAGTCTGAGCAACATGACATCAGCAACTGATAATGTAGAAAATAGCAGAGAATTGCACATAATCATTTGCATGGAAGCATTTACTTCTTGTTCATAATGAGAAAGTGCTTTTCTGATGTGCACAAGTGACACAATGATCTGAAGATTGAACAGGGAGTTTTGAGAATTTCAATTTTTATCTAAGAAATGCACCAAAGAAACTGAGGAAAACTGTAACAGAATTAATGTTTATTCATTAAATCAAATAACCACAACACCTGAAAAAACCCACTAAAATAGCCCACTGCTCTTTGAAGAAATAAGAAGCTTTAGCCTAATGCAAAAAGAAAAAAGTATGCAGTCATATTTGATAGGAATTTATTTAAGCAAAGAAAAAAAATTTATATATTTTGGACAGTATTCAGTGTAAAATGTAAGAATTTGTTGCTTTTTATCTAACAGCCACAAAACTACAGTACATGATGAACGCTGTGAGTTTGCGTCAGGATGATGATGGGCCAACTGTTTAAGCAATGTTGTTAGGATATATTGCAGAGTTTGATGCTGCTTGGTTACTTTCATAAATTTGGCAACAAACATTTTACATAAAAATTGGAAATGTCAGTTATTTTATATTAATGTATCAATAGGATGTCTAGTTACCTACCTATCCTCACTCGCTATTCTTCAGCTTCGTCCCTGATTTATCAGGGGTAGCCACAGCAGAATAAATCGCCAATTATTCCAGCATGTTTTACACAGTGGATACCCTTCCAGCTGCAACCCAGTACTGGGAAACACCCATACACATTCTCTCTCTCACACACACACTCACACACACACACACACACACACACTTATATACTACTGCCAATTTAGTTACCTATTATTCATCTATACCGCATGTTTTTGGACTGTGGTTAAAAACGAGTACTTTTTACTTTTTTACTTTTGTACAGTTTTGAGGCGGTACTTCTTTACTTTTACTTAAGTACAAACGTGTAGTCAGTACTTTTACCAGAGTCGTTTTAAATGTGAGTATCTGTACTTCTACTTAAGTAAAAGATGTGTGTACTTTTGCCATCTCTGCCACAGAGACAGAGAGAGGGGAGGACTTTGTACTGCCAAGCTCAACCTTCGAATGCCAACCGCAGAAACTGACGGTGGTGTGGAAGAATGGAGACATGAAAATACGCATCCTTCAGGTCTATCACTGCAAACCAATCCTGAGGATGAACGCACTGGAGGATTAGCTTTTGCGTGAGCATTCTGAATTGCAGCTTGTGCAGACAGCTGTTCAAAACGCGCAGATTTAGGATTGGCAGCCACCGCTCTTTTTGGCCAAAATGAAGTACAGGCTGTAAAACCCACTCTCCATCTTTGCTGCAGGGACCGGCTCAATTGCATCCTTCGCCAGGAGGACAGCAATCTCCTCTCGCAGCAGGGGTGGACGGGGGACTGACCCTGGTGAAATACACACCTGTGAACTTGGGCAGCCATTTTGCAAATTGAATCGGATAGCCGAGTCTGATTGTACGCATGAAGTGCTGGCCCATGCTAACCAGGCAGCCAGAGCTCTTGCTAATGGACTCATCGTTACAATCCCTAACGTACCAGCAGTGGGGCAGCGTGGAGTGGGTGTGCTGAGAGGTCCCACGGAAGAGCTGGAGGTGAGAGATTCACTCTAACCTCGCATCCAAGCTCCGGAGGGGGGGCTCGAGGAGTGGGAGAAAGGAGACCGTCCTCCTAGTGCCTGTGAACCACTGGCGAAATACACAAAACCTGTGAGCTGGAAGCAAAGGCGTGGTGGGGCAACTCTTATAGACGAGTGCTCTCGGCGACAAGCAGTGGATGTGGATGGTGTGGCGGGGGCGAGCGGTCTTACATCCCTGCCGATAGATAACTCCCATCATATACGACTGCAATGCCCTAAATTCCTGGGTGAATCCACCAACGGTTTTATCGAACAGGCCAGCCTGGGATATGGAGGGGTGTTTGTAGACAAATCTTTGCCAGGTTTTAGCCCATAGGCGCTCCTAGACCAGGTTTTAGCTCATAGGTGCTCCTAGACCACTCATGTGGCCATTGTCCTTCCCAGGGCACACGCAGCGGACTTGAGGTCCATGGAGCTGAGTCAGGTGCGGTGCGGGACTTGTAACAAGCCTGGGTCGGAACCACCCTCATGCAGCTGGGCCAACGTGCGCGCATGGATCCTAGCGAGTAGGATGAAAGCAGCCTGGACGGCGGCTGTGTGGGCTCTGGCTCCGGGGAGGCAGAAAACAAACATGCTTTAGATGGGAGATGAGGCAGACTCCAGTAGAAAGAGGCACTATGCAGGCCGCAGTGGCATTCTTAATCTGGGGAATCGACTCATACACCCTGGCTGCTCCACCATCAAGGATGGTGAGGCAGAGGCGCACGCAGATCGGGCAGAGAAAGGTGCCCTCCAAGACTGCGTGAGCCCACTGTGCACTTCCTGGAAGGAAAGGATGGAAGGCAAGAAGGTCTTACCCTTTTTAGTCCTCCATATACACCCATCTAATCTGGCTGTGGGGCTGGGGGATAAACCATCTCCAGGCTTGTGGCCGAAGCAACCCGGGAAAGCACAGTTACCATGTCTGTTTCTAGATCTGCTGCCACGCTCACTCCCGAGGGGAGGAAGCGGAGGGAGGAAATCTTTTATCAGCCAATGACAGCCCTTCCTCCAATGCAGTGGTGGACATCTGCGCCTCGGTGTCATCAAGTGAGAGGGTGGAGCTATTCGAGGATAGAGTGCTTCAATCTGGAGGAGCGAGAGGTCCGCAAACCCAAGGGCGGCAGATTAACTCCCTCTGTAACCCTCAGATTTGCCGGAGTGCCCAGCCGCGGAGCTGGAGACAAATGGGGTCGATGGTTCTTTTGCAAGAGCGACCCGCAATCTTAACTGCACAACAGACATGCCACTGCAGTGACAGCATCCACTGCCCGCGAGCCCTGCATTAACATGCTGGACCCCCAGACATGCAACACAGAGCTCGTGCCCATCATCCGGAGACAGGAAACCACCGCATCCAGAAACGCACGGTCAAAATGACGTCCTGAAAAGGACGTGCTGCACGACTGTGTTGCTCTTTTAGGTGAAAGTGCAATATTCAAACCGCTCTGGAGGACCAGACCCAAAGAACGCCAGGCAAGGGAGAAACCCAGCTTTACTGTGTATATCAGTGTATATCACACTCTGGACCGGAAGATCGCTCTTGTTCACTCGAAATTGATGTAGATCAGCTGAAGGAACCCTCATCGACCGTCTCAGAAGGCTGTGAAGTCTCTGAAGTGAAAAGGATGCCTCAGCCTTGCTCTTGTGGATCTTATATTGCTAAATTGATTGCAATGAGCATCAGCTGCACAAGCTGAGGCTGACAATTCATTGGCATTTTATTGGCCTGATTATATACTCTTTCAGACAATTCACCTATAAGTGGATTCTCCACTATAGCATTGAAGTTCCCCATTTGAAGTGGAACTAATGCACTTAAATGACCTGCATCACATGTAAAGGAACTTTAAATGAAAATTCATAATTGGAATAAAACTAAACATATATTTAAAACGAATCAGTGTGTAGAAGTTTTAAAATCTTTGATCTTTTACAGTATAAAAAAATCATGTCTTACCTGTTGTCTGTTCTCTAAGTGTCCTTTGGAGTCTCTTCTGAAGTTTAGCTTTCTGTTTCTCTTCTTCTCTCCTCAGTCTGTCCTGTAGTGCCGGTTTCTGCATTCGCTCCAGCTTCATCTGTTCTATCAGTTCATTCTCCTTCTGCTCTCTCTCTTTAATCAGTCTTTTATATCGCTCTTCTCTCTCTCTGAACTCTGCTTCTCTCCTCTTTCCCTCTTTCTCCTGATTCTGTCGTTCCTCCTCCTTCATAATCATCTTCATTCTCTCTTTCTCTTCTTCATGTCTCTTCATCAGTTCTTCTTCTCTCCTCTTCTTTTCTTCCTCCATAATCATCTTCATTCTCTCTTTCTCTTCTTCATGACTCTTCATCAGTTCTTCTTCTCTCCTCTTCTTTTCTTCCTCCATCATCATCTTTATTCTCTCCTTTTCTTCCTCATGTTTCTTCATCAGTTCTTCTCTTTCTCTGTTCATTTCCTCTATCTGGATCTTCATCTTCTTTTCTTCTTCTTCATGTTTAGACTGAAGATCTTCTTTCTCTCTCTCTATTCTGTCTTTCTCTTCTTTCAGTTTCTCATTGAATTCTCTCTGTTCTTTCTCCCTTCTTTTCTCCTCTTCTTCTCTTCTTTTCTTTTCTTCTTGTCTTTGTTTCTCCCATTCCTCCTGTTCTTTCGTCATCTCCTCACAAATTTTTTTCTCTCTCTCTTTTCTCTCTTTCATTTCTCTTTTATATCGTTCTTCTCTCTCATTAAACTCTTCTTCTCTTCTCTTTCTCTCTGTTTCGTGATTCTGTTGTTCATCCTCTATTCTCTTCATCAGTCTTTCTGTTTCTGTGTCATGTTTGGTCTGAAGTTTCTCTATTTCCTTCATCATTTCCTCTCGTTCTCTCTTCATCTCCTCTTTCATCTCTCTCTCTTTCTCCTCTTTCTCCCTGATCTGTCTTTTATATTTCTCTTCTCTTTCTGTATTCTCTTCTTCTCTTTTCTTCTTCTCATCCTCTATTCTCTTCATCAGTCTGTCTGTTTCTGTCTCATGTTTGATCTGCATTTTCTCTTTTTCTCTCCTGATTTCCTCTATTTCGTGTCTAAATGTCTCTCGTTCTCTCTTCATCTCCTCTTTCATCTCTCTCTGATGTTCCTCTCCTTCTCTTATTTCTCTCTTCAGTTCTTCTTCTCTCCTCTTTCTCTCTGTCTCCTGTTTCTGTCGCTCTTCCTCCATCATCATCTTCATTCTGTCTTTCTCTTCCTCCAGTTTCTTCATCTCTTCTTCTGTTTCTCTGACTCTGTCCATCAGGATCTTCATCTGTTGTTCTTGTTTTTCTCTCTCCATCTCTCTGAACATCTTACATGAGTAGAAGCTTCCTCCGTTTGCCTTCACCATGTTGTCTATCTTCTCCAGTAGATCAGACACTTGTGTTCGCTCTTCAGGCTGGGTATTGTTGAACACATGATATCTGTGTCCACAAGCTTCAATCAGGTTCATCAGAGGAGATCCAGGTTTACCCAGAAACTCTTCAATGGATTTATTCGTGAGGAAGTCTCCTCTGGTGAAGAGCACCATGGTGAACATTAGAGAGTTTTCCCCAAACGTCTCCTGGATGATCTTCACTGATGTTTCCTCCTCTTTAGTGAATCGTCCCAGTGGAACCAGCAGGAGAAACACGTGTGGTCCAGGCAGAATCATGGAGATGCAGTGTCTGATTTCTCTCTGGATCTCCTCTTCAGTGAGTTCAGTATCAAACACTCCTGGAGTGTCGACCACAGTGACCTGTCTGCCATTGATTTCACATGATTCTCTCTGACTCTCTTTAGTCACTGGTTGGTGAGATGTTTCTGCTGTAAAAGCTTTTCTTCCTATGATTGTGTTTCCTGTTGTACTTTTACCAACTCCAGTTTTCCCCAGAAGAACAATCCTCAGGTCATCATCTGTGTTTACTCTGAATTCTTGAATTATTAAAATATAAAAAAGCATTAAAATAGAGTAAGAAATGGTTTGACATTTTATTATTAATTTGAATGTTCTAATTATCATCTCCCCATGCTAGATCTTACACTGCTGTGTCCAAGGGCACCTACACCCTGCAGGCTATAGCCACTTACCAACTCTACCAGGAAGAGGCCCTAAGATGTATAGAGGTGGCTCTTCCCAAGGGTTGATTAAAGATCACCAAACAGCTGGGTAGCCACCCGGCCCTGGGTAAGATGATGGCTACACTAAAGGCCCAAGAGCGCCATCACTTGGAATAATAAAGCATGCCAAATAACAGGCTAGTGTGTAAGGTGACACAGTTGGAGACCTTACCCAGGATTTCTCCCCAGTGAAGAAGCAGTCTGGTGCCATGGTCCACCTCATCTCTGGACTCAGAAGCCTGCCAAAACATCTATAGCTGACACTCCAGTTGCTGCCTGCTGAAGGCATTCCCGTGGCTTCAGCCCTCTGCTATGTCTCCACTAGCTGAGACCCCTCAGCACTGGCCACATCATGCCTACCATAGTTTTTTGTCAGCCTACATGTAAAAGTCAATGCCCTCATTGCCTTTACCTGGTCAGCATTAGTAACTGCCACACCATAAATAAAATAGCAGTTACCCAACCTCTTCATTTGACACTGCAGATGCAGCCACTGACCAACACATTGTTTCCTCATCTGCAAACCCACAGTCAGATTTTGCTAGCTTCTCTGTGGGAACATGGTTGTCAAGCAAGAGCATCACCACTCTCACTCCCCCTTCTTTAAGATGCACTAGCATGGCTACCGCTTTCCAGCCCATTTCATTTGCACATTGTAACAATCTGACATGGCTCTGTGATTCAGTCCGCAAAAAATAGCCACCATGTGCAGAAGTGTATATTAAGCCTTGGTGGCCCCAGTCACCCCATCCCTGTCTCGCAAGAAGATTTCTGCCTTCCTGATGAAGGATGCAATTGAATTTGTCTCTCCAGCTGAAATTGAATTGAAAGCATGGTTTTGGTACCATACTGTAATGCTAGGTCTCCACAGGGAAAAGTGGAAGAAAATGATATGGTATGGTTTGCTATTTCGTACGGGTGAACAATATTCAAACTGAACTGAAAAAACATGGTATTCCCCCTATGGTATGAACCACAATACTCTCATAGCGAACCAATGTCTCCACTCCATAACTCAATTTAGAACTTAAAACTGAGCCAAACCGTGGCATTGGTGTATCGTTACAGCCCTACTTTTTTGATTCCATTGGCAGTGAAAATGGACTAAGTTGCATACCATTCTATTCTGTACTAAACCATTCCCTCAGTGGAAAGGGCCATACATTCCTGTCTTTAAAGACAGAACTCCTGGTTGCATTGGCTTTGTTCAAGAAGGAAGGAAATCTGAGCCTATAGTTTGGACCTAGTAGATCTCACTATAAAGATTTTGGAAACCAGATTTAAATTTAGCGAGAACGGTCAGGTTGGTAAACGATTATTCTAGGCAGGCAGAGGATAAACAAAGGCTGATTGTATGTCCTCTTGTCAATCCTTATATTCAGATTTGTGCCTGTATATAAAATTCCCAATTCAGGCAATCCTATAAATGTTTCTATCTGCAGAATGTTTTAGTCCATCTAGCATTTCAGGAGTCATTTGTTTTTTTGCCACTAGCATCTTTTAAGATTGTGGTCTCTTTATCTATCTCCTTTTGGTCTGAAGCACTTTACTAACCTACTGACATACTAATTAAAGCTTTCTAAGGCCGTACTCACACTATGTACAGTTGCCTCGAACAGGGCTAAAGCACGCTTGTCCCCCCTCCCGTCTCCCCCGACGGCCTGCACTCACACTACAATCGGGCCTGGGCACACTTACGTCATTGATGCTGCGCTGTTCTGTGAGAAGCGCTCTCACTCAGCACAGTGGAGATTTCTCAAGTTACATCATTTCAGTTGTTTGATATGCAGTGACATGCAGTCAGATATTTCGCCAAACCAACCTTAGGGATGCGGTGACATGCAGTCAGATATTTCGCCGCACAGATCCGCCACTTTTGACACTCATAAACAATCATAAAGCTCTCGTGCTGCAGGAGTGAGGAGGTCTGCTGAAGGTGCAGCTGTCCTGCAGTGAGGGGTTTGCGTCTTTAATAAGCTACGGCAGTTTGCGTTCACTGAACAGTAAGAATGATTAATAAATCCATATGAAACAACCCTTTAAAGTCATGTCTCGCTTTCAGTTTCGGGCTTTGGCGCATTTTGCACTCACACACAAGCCCAAGTAAACCGCGCTCAGGCCCACCTCCTCCAACCGGGTCAGGGCCGGCCAAGTGAACCGTGATTGAGCCCGATCACGCGCACTCACACTTCTAAATGATCCGGGAAACGGGCCTGGGCACGGTACGAATGGCATAGTGTGAGTAGGCCCTAACTCATTAGGTCTACCTGCTCTTATTCATTTCCCATTAGGTAAATCTGGGAAGCATTTGGAAGCTTATGTGTAACCAAGATCTGAATGCCATTGATAAGTGTTTTTGTGCTCATGATACGTGTTAAGCTACAACACTCCAAACTTACAGTATTATTAGTTGGCACTATGGCACTATCCATAGGGATCCCCATCTTGTTGACCACCAAATTTATGCAGAGAGACCAACTGAGAGGAGATGTCTCAGTTACAAGTGTAACCCTCAGAATAAGGAAGAGTGATAATACATCTCTAGGATCCTAACACTGAACTACCAGTTGAATTCTGTCCAGGAGCTTACTACTTAGTGATGGTGTCATGAGTGATTGCACATGTGCCACTTACACATACATATAAACAGCTGTATATAAATATATAAATGGTTTCATATGCAGATTTACTCTTTGAGAGAAAATGGAAAACATCTATAGCCAAGTTCTGTTATTTAAAATAAATGTATAAAACACAACCATAGTTTAAATCTATAATTTTCTAGTTTTAAGTTTGTGTCTGAAGCTGGCTTTATTCTCCTCACCTTGTGTCAGCAGTGGTGTCTCCAGTAAATTACTTTTCTTAATTTTCATCTCTTCATATTTCATCCGATTTTCCATCTGCGCCTCCAGGAATGTCTCTGTGGAGTAAACACCTCCTCTGTTTTCCTCCAGCATCTGCTCAATGTTCTCCATCAATGTGGACACTTGTGTTTCAGGACTGAAGTGATGATGTCTTCCTCCAAAACTCTGAATGACAGCCTGTGTTTCTTCACTGAGTTCTGCTGTCTGATGCTCTGAGTTCTGCATGATGAGGATCATGATGTGTTTGTTGACTCTGGAGCTGAAGATCTTCTGGATCTC